CTGGGGGGAAATGCATTGATTCCTTGTAAAATATGTTACACACTGTAGCCCCATTCAGACTGGATTAGTTTTCAGCAAAATGTACATTTAGTGACTGCTAATCCATAACATGTGTGATGTTAATGAACAACATACATGCGAGGAGAAATGTGTTGAATTGGCTTACAGTGTTACAGAACCCTATTCATGTGCTGGCAACACAACACAAATGTATCATACTAATAAAATGTATTTTACGCGACCAACATAAAACTTGTTTAAACAATTACATTCAATCAGACAGAAAAAGGAGAAGAAATGTTGCATCTGGAATAGTCAGCCGAATGTGCAGAGCCCCTCTCTCCTCAAAATGAAATGACATTATTTCCAAACTATCTCAGGGTTGTCATTTCAGATAGGCCTAGCTGAGGGTTGGAGGTTATTCTGGAGGTCCCAAATTTAGCTGGCCGTTGAAATCCGCACAACTTCCTGACATGGCAAGATTCGGATGGGACTAAAATGTACAGACATGCTCCAATTTTTCGATTACTCTCCCTTCCTCCCTCCCCGTAAAACTAATCCTATCCCAAATGGGGCTTACAAGAAACTGGTACAATGACAAAGTGGCATGTTTGTTGCCAAAAGCAAAAAGCTGTTTCTTTTTTTACCAAAAAAATATATATGCAAATTGAGCAAACACCTTTTATCCCTGAAGGGAGTGAGTAGTTGGTGGTGTAACCGAAAAATTAACTCTGAATTGTATGCTAATTAGCTGATGTGGTTTCAAAAGTGGGTGAGGGGCAGAATAAGTCAGAGATGCTTTGTTCTAAATACTTCTATCACGCTAGTAAATAGTACATTATTTTGAAATTGTTTTTTGAGGTTGCCAACGAAATTGTATCCTTTTTTCTTTTTCAATTATAGGAAAATTCCCACCTCATTAATACTCTAAAGTCATTAAAAATCACATTTAGATTTTTTAGAGACTTTATTTGACAGAATTGAAAACAAAATATCAGTAGCTCTATTGATATTTCTCAGTCATAATTCAGAAAAAAATCATGCTGAGTCTTGTGTTACATTATTGAAAATTGGATCTCTGGGCTCACCGAAATTGCAATTATTTTTTTTTCTATTTATTTTATAGGCCAAACAATTAATCAAGAAAATATTCAAATGTAAAAAAAAGAAAATGTTAGTCTACTTAGATAGATGGATGTTTAATAATTTTTCTGAATTTTTTATAATATTAACAGGGGAAAACGGAAACATAATATAGATATATGTTTTATTTTTGCAGAATATTCTCCAGTCTTAAATAGTGTCCTCCTTTTAGGCTGATGAGTAACCGCTGCCTAAAGAGTTTAACAGGCTTTTTTCATTTAATCCATACTGAGCAAAACAAACTTTAAAAAGTTTAACACTTGAATTATCTTTGCATAACACTTGTGGAGTACTACAATTACCTCCAATCTGCCCATACGAGCAACTCCATTCCCTCCTTCAGCAACACAGCTGTTGTGTTACGTAGTGAGGCTTTATTTTTAATCAGAAGAACATTAACTGTTAATCAGAAATGTTATATCACTCCAACAAGCTGTTAATTTTCTCCAGACGTCCTGATGTACACATCATGCTCAGTGCATCTTATTGATTTAGAAGCCATTTCAAGTTATATGGTTCCTTTTAGCTGGAAAATACTTTAATGTAGTGAGGATGACAACTTCATGGCTCACTTCACGTTCACTGACACATCTATCCCCCTGGTTTCATCTCCTCCTGTTGTAGATTCATTGTAAAGTTAAAGGTTTTGCCCAACTAAAAGCACATTTGGTTCCCAAATCCAGTCTGCTTTGCATTACCTCTGCATGTTCAGCACATGGGCTGCTTTAGTACTCTGCACGTTTTGTGTGGTCCCTTTTCATTCAGCGTCGTTAGTGACTGACACACATTCATTTGCCTTCATTCAGGGCTGTAATATGCACTCAGGAGCAAACTGACATTATTGAATTGTTGCTTGAGTTTAACAGTTGTACACAAAGTAATAAAGGGACATTTTGTTGAAGAAAGTAAGCAAAAGTGTGAAGTGTGTGATGATAAAAACAAGCAGAGGCACACATTCCTCAAAGAGGGCTGAACTACATTTCACGTTATCAATCACAATTCAACAAAACAACAAACCCTCTAAAATGATATCTAATCTAATAATCTAGATTAAAGGATATCTGTTGTTTTTCCCTGTTTCATTGCAAACTGAATATTTTTGGGATTGTTGGACAGCTGGTCACACAAACAAGCTTTTTAATTAAGAAAATAATTACCAATTCAATAGGAGGAAAACATTATCATTATCTGCAGCCCTGGCATTTTTCTAAATGATCATTACTGCAATACTAAACCAAAAATGTCCGCTTCTCATTGTATTACTTTTTCAATTAGAACTTGGTTAAAACTGTTTAAATGGTCATAATATTGAAAGACAAAATTATCCACAATGATAGTAAGTAAAGTCCATATAATATTACCTAATATTCAAGACCTACTTTACACACGGCACTCAAACAAGACATTACAAACCCCTACAATGTGGCATAAAAGGGATAATGGGCTTATAGAGGAAGAAAAAGAATAAAATCAATGTGGAAAAGCTAATATAGTGAGTAAAAGATGTTAACATATAAATATCAAGAGCGTTAGAAGATGCTGTGACTGCGTTCCCTACAAGAGTTGAAGTGTGTAATTTTCTTGGGGAAGTAAAGTCTCTGCTGAAAGAGGTGGAAATCTGCTCCACAGTCAGCACTGCAGGATTTCCCTTGATGTTAAACACTGTTTAGATCTGCTGACGGGGGAATTTGATTAAATTCAAGAAACCACTGCAAAGCACGGTGCTGCTACAGTAGTCCTGTAAAATTGTCTCGCACACCTTGGCCATACACAACGGTGTGGAGTAATAGTCAGTCCTAATGAGTCCCACGAGACGGCTGCCAATGCTATTATAGACTCACCACCGTGTTTTACAGTCAACCGTTTTCTCTGCATGTAATCTCATCAGAATGCGGATGAATGTGAAAGAAACGATGAACATCATCTTGTGCTTTTATACTTTTGTTTATGACCGGTAACACAATGCATGTTGGCGTCTTGGCCCTGGACAAAAGTGTTTTCTAAAGGGCATCTTCAAAATCAATACCTGCTCTGTAAAGGCAGAGATATTCAGTGGGAGATGTTTTATTGTGTTTACCAGTTAAGTGTCTGTTCTTAGCAAACACTGAAAGTCGCCATAAATACTTTCTTTATTTAAACTTTCCTGTAGTTATTTGAATCAGAAGTTAATGACATTTGCATTCATCCGTATCTTCCTTGTTATTACTTTTCAGCTCTGTTTCTGGTCTCTACTAACTCTTAAGGACAATATCTGCCTTTTTACCGGCTGACCGTTCCACTGTGTTATCCAGTTACTCACTTAGTTTGCTGCACATGGCATGTGGCACTGGGCAGGCAGTAGGGATGTCCCGATCACCTTTTTTTGCTCCTGATCCGATTCCAATCATTTGATTTTGACAATTTGCCGATACCGATTTTTCCCGATCCGATCTTTATGCATTGCATTAAGAGAAAAAAAAAAAAAAGCATTCAAGTTGTCCCTTAAGGTTATTTTTTTATTTAAATTAGATATTCTATCCAACATGGATATAGCTTCTTTCTTTCACAGCAGCATTGGATCAGTTCAGTTGTGCAGCTTTGGATCAAAACAAAATAAAGCTTATCAGTACTCGTTAGCTTACTGCTACAATTAGACACTGCGCCATGCCCACTCTGTTGCCAGATTTGAGAGAAATAAGCAACCAGGTCTATGAAAACAAGCCCCAAANTGTCCTGCAGCTGACCACGCCCCCCTGCAAAGGAGGGGGCCGAGTTACGAGCGTCATGTTACCATGCTGTTACCATGCCACGGCAACCTCTCATTCCCCAGGGGAATGAGAGGTTGCCGTGGCATGGTAACAGCATGGTAACATGACGCTCGTAACTCGGCCCCCTCCTTTGCAGGGGGGCGTGGTCAGCTGCAGGACATGCAAAGACAGGGGTGGAGGAGAGCAAAATAGAGCGAAATGAGGCATGGCTAAAATGCATGATCTGTTTGGTATTTTGAAAAAGCAACCATGTACATATTTGAGGTTCTTAAAGGTGGGGTAGGTCATTTTGGAGAAACCAGCTCGAGTGCGCTAGAATTTGAAAATACACAGCCGGAAAAAATCTGCCACTTCCTTACAGAGCCCCTCCTCCAACACACACGAACGCGCACATGACCAATGAGGGCACGAGATAAGTTTGTGCACAGATGGAAGGCTGACAGGCAGGTAGGCCATCCAGTTATTTTAGCCGGGCCGGCTCAAATGATTGGTCGTGCTTTTTACAGTACTACGGCTTCCAGAGATGACATGCTTTTATGGATTTTTTGTCAAAGCACTTCAGATATTCATTACTATCGGGATGTTAAGAGCATTCCATGGAATATAACATTAAAAAGTGTATCTCGAGCCGGTTTCTCAAACTTACCTACCCCACCTTTAAGTATTTCTTCCATACCAGTTTATACTTCCACTCCATTACAGAAAAGGGAATATCATACTCTTTAGTCCAATAATACTTGACGACATATAAGAGCTTATAGAATACGATCCTTTGTTATTGATTGAACAACCAAACTCGATATACAATTGGTTTGTGTATTAAATTGTATTTTCCTACTTATGATTATTATAATTTTTTATTGAGTATTTTCATTTGATTTCTTTAAATACTTGATGTTCATTGACTGATTATACTTACATCCTTTTACTAATAAAGCACATAAAGGTAGGACTTTAACCTGTAGTGGAGAATTTAATCAGTGTGATATTAGTGCTTTTACTTAAGTCAGAGGCCTGAGTACCTCCTACCCCCGCTGTCAGCTTCAGAAAACTGATGCCTTTCTAAGTGCTGTCTGTTAACCCTGATGTGCGTCTGTTTTGACAGGTCAATGTCATCTTCCTGATGGTGACGATGTTCAAGATGGTGAAGCACTCCACCTCCATGAAACCCGACTCGACCAGGCTGGGGGGGATCAGGTGAGCGCTGACCACTGGGAGATTAGGTGGCCACACTGTGGTATGCTTGCTCTAAATGTGTGTGTGTGTGTGTGTGTGTGTGTGTGTGTGTGTGTGTGTGTGTGTGTGTGTGTGTGTGTGTGTGTGTTTTGAGTGGGGGTAATATGAACCATTACTGCTTTTGCCTCCCGCCTGGAATCTCAAAAGCCGCATTTGACCAACACACTTATTTGATTTCTTCTTCTCTTAAACCCGACCGGACCAACATTTTTCCCTTTCAGATTTTATTTGCCTCCGTTAAGGGGCTGCCTTCATTTTATCATTTCACTATTTGCACTATGCAGGGTTATATTGCCTTTTTTTCTTTCTTCATAACTGCATTTCTGGCCTTTCTGTATCTTTTTGCTCCTCTGCTGGCATACTTAACAAATTCCTTGAAAAACAGATTCAGAGACACCAAGTACAGATTTAACGATGGTGAAAACGGAAAAGAAGAAGTCTCCCACCTCCATATTTCCCCTTTAAGTGTGCTGCATTTGCTCGATAAAAATACAGATCCCTGTCCATTTCTTTGCCTGGATTATTGTTCAACAATGTGTTTGAGGGCAGGCCAAAATATGTTATGTGGGCGCTTATTTTTTTTAATAGCCGCTCTGATTTTGGTCCAAAACACAGAAAAAGAGGCATTGGATTGGCTTTAAGGTTTGTTTTTGGCACACAGAAAGCCCACATCTAGGAATGTTGGATATCACACGTTATCTTAAGAAGTCAAAACTCATTACCTATCATTAATTAGGGCCTTTCTCAAATCCGCTATTTATTTTTGTTTTTTTTCACATATAGTAACTCGCAAAAATAGGAAGGAAATAATTGGTTGCACTTGGTTTGATAACTCAGAATATTTTATTTCATTCTTGCTTTAAAAGCACCAAATTCTGGACAGCAGATCTAATGAGCCATCACTCTCATTATTTGTGTGGATCTTCTCACAGTGACATGTTGTTGTTCCATTTCTTTCGTTTCTCTGCCGTATCTCTCATGGCTCACTTCTCTCTGGTGTATCAATAACGAATAGGCATCTTTATTGAAGCTGAAGTTATCTGATTTCCTCTAGGCTTTCCTGGAAGCCTCTGAGGAAGAACCTGCTGTGCTTGCATGCTCTTTAGCCAACAATTCCAAGAAAGGACCAAGGAAATACTTTTTGACTCGGTGTCAAATAAGAAATGCACATTCATTCCAAAACGTAGTATCAGCATTTACACACCATGCAGCCACTGCAGCAACTTGCCCAAAAGCAAAATAGCTTCTGCTTTACTTTTTTAACAAGCTGCTGTCCAGGGTCAGAGGAACGTCAAACCAACATGAAAACTACTGCAACTCTCTACAGTTTCACTCGTTAATATCTCTCTTCTCTTTCTTTTGTAGGTCGTGGGTGTTGGGAGCGTTTGCCCTACTTTGTCTGTTGGGCCTCACCTGGTCCTTTGGCTTGCTCTTCCTCAATGAATCGTCCATTGTGATGGCTTACCTCTTCACTATCTTCAACACTCTGCAAGGGATGTTTATCTTCATCTTCCACTGCCTCCTCCAGAAAAAGGTAAGAATTCAAAGACGGACTATTCTACATAATCATGGAGCCGACTAATCAATTAGTTAATATACAGAAAATGATTTAATCCTCTAATTTCATAATCAATTCATCATTAAAGCTATTCTACTCATTTGATGATTTCCGAATATCTTCGGCCCAGGGTACTTTTCTGACATTTCAAAAAATTAAACGTTTCATTAATTACCAATAAATAATTAACAATACAAAGGATTGCTAGTGGAAGCCTCTCTGAAATAACATGGAACTGCCAAGAATTGCAAATGACTTTCCATATCTCTCTAATCCTTGCTCTGCAGGTGTGGATCTGTAAACATTTAAATTGCGACATTTAGAGATTTTACTTTTCATGATATTTATACATCCTTACCAACTCTTACATCACAGTGCTTCCTCTCTACAACGTTTCCCACGTCGTCACAGTGTTTGCTATCCCTGTCCTTACAGATATAGCCTTTAAACTGCTGTCAGCTGGTTGGCATTTGAGTTGAAGATTTGGGATTTGCATCTCCCATAGGGGGATTGTTGTTTCGCTGTCTGTGTGCTCAGTCTGTGCCCGTCTTTTGCTTCTCTGCAGGTCCGCAAAGAGTACAGCAAATGTTTCCGTCAGTCCCAGTGCTGCGGCGCGCTGCCATCAGAAGGCCCCCACAGCGCAGCCAAGACCGCCACGTCTCGATCCACGGCCCGCTACTCATCTGCAACACAGGTGCATGGACGACCCTGGGAATTAGATAAATTACGGATTAGGCTTTAGAAACACCATGCGTGAAAATGTTTAATGTAGAATCATTCTAGTTAATTATGTCAGTGGAATCTATTTTTTTTAACGTATTTCATGGACTGTCTTTCCTTTTTTTACCTTTCCAAGTGCAGTAATATTATTCAGTTTTTTAATTTAAAGGTTATACTGTTTATTGGCCAGTAAATTGTAGCTAGCAGACAGACATTTACACTAATTATGTGACTGTCTGTGTTTCCTGTAGATATTTAATTGCTCTTTTTACGGCACTGTTAGTGTACAGTTTTATTATTATGCTGCTGTGTTTATTGTATTTCTGTAACTCTGGCTCAACAATTTCCTTCGGGATAAATAAAGTCTTATCTTATCTCTTATCTTAGAAAGCATTTTTCTTCTTTTTTTTTACAATCATTTCTTTTTTTAAATTTATTTTAACCATGACCTTCTGGAACAGAAAGAAACCTAAAGGATTTTGTCTTAAATTTGAATTTGACACACTGGTCTCTCGTCTTTTTTATTGTCACCATATCATAAGGCAGGGGGTTATTTTAATCCTATATACAAGTATAGGGGCTCAACACCCACGTAGCTGCTCCATCCTCCACCAGAAGCCTTCAATAAGAGCAGCACGATGTTGAATCCCTGATCAATGACTGCTTTTCTCTGTTCACAGAGCCGCATCAGGCGGATGTGGAACGACACGGTGAGAAAGCAGTCGGAGTCATCCTTTATCTCAGGAGACATAAACAGCACCTCCACGCTCAACCAGGGTAAGCAAGCGTTTCTTCCACTGCCACCAAAAGACATATTCACTTTGTGATCCGAGTTCACAATAAACACTTCAATGGAGCTTACACCGCTCTGCAGCAGCTGTGAAAAGTGGCAGATGAAACCCTGTTTTAATGTTGAATTTCTCTTAGTGCTTAGCAACTGAAAAAAAAAACCGCATTTAATGCTTCCTGTGTACTAAAGTTCACAGCATTTTTCCAACACTTTCCTGCTTGGTTGGATCATGTAAAAGGCGAGGAGCTGTGACAGAAATGGCGTGATATTTGTGAGGCACTGATGAGAACTTGAGTTCAAATCTCAGCGAATCTTGCTTAGCAGCATCCTCCCTGACTCATCTTCACTTGAGAGTGATTGTCGGGATGGGGGCAGAAGTGGGGGAGATGATCAATGTCAGGCTGAGGTCAGAGAAGGTTTTGGGAGAGATCCCAGCATCTCAGGCTGCAGAATGTGCCCTTGCAGATTTGGCTGTAGTTATGAATTAATTTCAATTTTCTTTTCTTTTTTAAACACATGCCAGTACAACGTTTCTCAGCAATCCATCCAAATAACTGAGACTAGTTATACCATTTCTGAGGATTTCCAAAAGCATGATCAGGATGATAGGAACACTGTATTATTTATGGCGGGCCCCTTAGACATGTTTTGTCTAGTTTCTTGACTGGATGAGTTTGTTTAGATAGATTTGTTTCACATAAACACTGGAGATGATTGTGTTGCCATGCTTTGGTCAACACTTGTCGCGATAATATTGTTTGTCAGTTAAATCAGCTGACTGTTTATATAATGTCTTGCTATGAGACACGTTTCTATGGCTGCTTTGTGTTCATAATAGAACGCAGACATATTGTAGGTTATAAATCTTATGTGATGTCAGATTTTGGACAGCGAATGTCAGTGTTTGTTTATGTCGACAGCTACCCAGCGCACCACCACAGACCATGAAGTACAATACCTCCAGCTCTTTTTCCTCAACTGTTTTTTTCCTTCTCTCTCTCCTGTTATTTCAGGGATGACTGGCAACTACCTCCTAACTAACCCTCTCCTCCGAACCCACGACACTAACCCTTATAACAACCTGCTGGCAGAAACGGTGGTGTGCAACACCCCCTCTCCACCGGCCTTTCACTCCCCAGGTGCACATCCTCCCTCCACTTTTATTCTTACATTGATTTGTTTGGATGCATGTGTGTGTTTGTTTTAAGGTAAAATGTTGACTGTTCAAATTCACTTTTTAGGGGACAAAAAGATAATATAATTTGCTAAGCAGCACCTGTAAAGCTAAAAAAAACAACAGATTATATCTTGTTTGTTTAGTTCAGTGATTATTAACTATACCTCTGCTATAGAAAGAAATAAAATAAAATATATAATTTAATTAGAAAATAACAATATAATATACAGTTCCAACTTGATATTTAGCAAATGAGCAAAGAAGACTAAACAGTAAGCTAAAATTGGTTGGCTAACTAAAAGTAGTATGTACATGGTTAAATATACACTTAAAATCTAAACCATCCTAAATATTATCAATTTAATTGTATGAGAATATTTTTTAACAACTTAAAAAACAAATATAGTGAATAGCGTTTTATAAGAGACAGTTAATGAAATATTCAAATGAACACATTTTGAACCTGATGGCTGGTGTTTATAAAGCAGAACAACATCTGATACTGTAGGTCTGTGGGGGTACCACTGGTTTAATGCATCAAATATAAAAATCGAACCCTCCAGTTTACGAAGGGAGTTATGGGCTGGACTATTCTCTGACCAGTTGCTAGGAAACCAGGGGAGACTCAAAGGCATTACTCGTCCCGGTAAATAACACAGTCCACTACATAATCCCTGTAAATCTCCCAAATTATTGTTTTTCCACTTAATATTCTGTACTGATTAAACAAAAAAAGTCTGATAGGCAAGGCTAGGTTCCCCCTCTGGTTCCATTGTTGTGCTAAGCTAACAGGTAGCTTTAGCTTCAGTGGTATTAATCTTCTCTTTGAACTTTCTTCTTCATGTGATTTAGATTTATAAAAATAACAGGAAAAATCTTGAGGTTTGGGCTCTAAAAATGTTTTGAATAATTACCCTAGATTCACTGTTTGTTGTTCTCCATTCACACCTCTGAATTCTCAGAAGTTCTTATCTAAGCACGTTTCCCCTTTGTAAACACAGACGTAGATAAACTCCCGTCAATGCAATCTTTTCTCTATATCTGAGCAGTCAGATGGGAATTCCTCTCAGTTGAATATGAGCTTCACCCGTTGCTCTGAATCGTTTATGCCTTTATCCTTTTCAGATGAAAGATATTTATACATTATATTTATATATGTTTAGAGGGTCTTCAGGTTTCTACGATTTTAATAGATTTAATAAATCATGTCAGTGTATATGGTGACCTAGTTCTTCACTGGCAGAGCAAAAAAAAAAACAATCAAAGAAGAAAAAACAGAAGCTCATGACGCAATGCGGGCAGAGTCGTAGCCCTCAGATATTCCAAGCATTTGATGATAAAAGAGAATATACAAAACAGCAGAATGGCAGAGTGTGTAAGTATAGGAGTTGCCATAATGTATAGCTTGAACCTGCTTTAGCCTTTGCCGTCCTGCTTTGTGCTACGAGCTGGCTTACAGCACAACGAGAGCACTTCACACTCGGAGATACTGAAGCAGGGCTGGGACCAAACAATGTTTGCAAAGAAAATCAAAGACCATTTTTTCTCTGTCTGTGAGCTCAGCAGCAGGCGAGCCGCTCCGATGCTCCAGTCTGTGTGTTGAGACAGCTTGTGCTTTATTGCCCTAAAATGTTTACCTGCTTAATCATTGTAGTAATTACATTTTAACATTGGAGCACCAGAGACAGATAAAAAGTGTTGATATTTAATTAGCACGTTATTTTGAACGTCAGTATAAATAAACATCGTCTCTGCCTGTAGAACCACTTCTCCCCCTGAGGCAAACCGCTGCACTTAGCTGTGTTTTACAGAAGAGCGTCAGGAAGCAGTGACAAACAGGATAAAACAATATAACATATGGAAACTAGTTTGAGGAGAGCAGGCAGCAGCATGACACGCAAATGTCAAAACCTGGTGTGAAGATCACCAACCAAGTATGAAATAAGCGGTGAGAGACTGTCAAGTTTAACATAAGCTTTCTCAAAATTCTGCCTGCTATAGTCATTACATTTAGCTCCTGGAAAGGATGAGCGTGTCTTCTATTATAAGTGTATTAATGCTAAGTAATGCTCTGCAGATGTTCATCCGATGCAGTAAAATCAGTAAGGAGAACATCTTGGATGAATCGCTGCTGGAACAGTTCCCAGAGTGCAGCTGTCGCCGCGTCCAGTTGAATTCTGTTCACATCATTTCCCCCTCTCCCGGTAGACAGTACCTGTCTGCAATAAAATCACTGCCTGCACATAAAAAAATGCAAATTTGAAGGCGGGTCTTTTTGGAGAGGTGTCTAATAACCTTCCAATTTCCCCTTTTTTGCACTTTTGCTCTCTGTGCTCATTTGACTCTTTTTAGAAATGTCTTTGGTTTCGTTTTTAAAGCAGTTTTCCTCAGTTGGTACCATGCTTATACAGTTTACCCTGTGACGAGCTTAGTCATCGGGCTGCACAAAAGAGGACGTGTGTGTGTGTGTGTGTGTGTGTGTGTGTGTGTGTGTGTGTGTGTGTGTGTGTGTGTGTGTGTGTGTGGTTCACAACAACAAACAAAGTGGCATTCAAAGAACTACTTTCAGGAAATGTTCCTTTCTTTCACTGTAGACGTTTAAAGAAAAAACTGTGCTTGCTGCTGAACCCTTTCACCTGCTGAGTCCAGGATTCAGTTGTCCTTGATTTGTCCTTTAGCTCTTTCAAACCGATTAACACATAATTTTGCTGTCATTCTCCATCCACCTACAAACATTTCAGCAATGCATCATGTGAGCTAAATTATAGTTAATAGCAAGGACACAAGGTTTTGGATTGACTGAATCCAGGCTGGATGTTACAAGCTTTCCACTTTGGTCTTATTTCTCTGATTTTGTTGTTTCTGCTGCAATTGAAAAAAAGCATCTGTTTTACTTTTTTTGCACATCAGCTGTTCTTAGGCCAGATAGCCTGAGCAGACACACTTGATGTGAGTGTTGGCAAAGTGAGTCATTGCACCGTGCCTGTCTGTCGTGGTGTGTTGGGGGTTGTTGCTGTGCTTGTGGGGCCCCGGTGCGGAGAGGTGGCTCGCCATCTATGTTGGACATTACTCTTTTGTCTTGCCTTTTTTTAAACAGGTTGAATGTTTTATTCATTGCTTATTTCACAACACTGCCCCATCAGCTTGTATTCATTTATTTATTTTACTCTCATTCTATCCTTTTTGCTTTTTTTCGTATGGTGCTGTGTTGTCAACCTGGTCATGTGCTACTTTTTGCTGTACTGTATTTTTAAAGTTTTAATTCACCCTTTGTTCTAATTTCTCCAATATTGTTCAGGATAATCTCTTAGATTGGCTTTAATGATATTCAGCCATAATGAGGATGGACATTGTAGAGAGCTGATTGGGTTCTCCTTTGAATTTTCAAAGCTTTTAATATTTGCATAAAAATGAAATTAACCCAGAGATCAAAGAGCAAAAGAGTGAAGTGTCCTGAGCAGTATCAAGTTGTATGTGGATGGTGTAGTAGACACTGTTTAGTTACACAAAAAAGGGAAAAATCTCATCTCACACATTCGTTTTGCCTTTATTTGCAGGACAGCACTCTCTGAGCAACAGCAGGGACATCAGTGCCATGGACACCCTCCCCCTCAATGGCAATTTCAACAACAGCTACTCCCTGCGCGGCGATGACTATGAGACTGTGGGCGTCAGAGCCACGGGTGACCTGGGGGGTCTCCACCTTGACGATGCCGCCTTCGAGAAGATGATTATATCTGAGATTGTCCACAACAACCTAAGGCCCCGTGGGGCCCCAAAAGGCCGCGACACCCCAAGGGAGCAGGACAGAGCCTTGCCTCCGCAGACCAGGGTGACAGTGGACCGAGGTGGGGGTGACAGCGGCAGCGAGGATGACGCCATCGTGGCAGATCACGCCGAGGCATCACCCCCCCAGATAGGAAGTGGACGAGGAGGCCACGCCACCCTGGAGCTGCTCCTGCACCCCCACCACAAGGAGGTGTTGGAGGCCCCTCTTCTGCCCCAGAGGACTCACTCTCTGCTCTACAGCGCCCAGAAGGCCCCCAGGCGCCTGGAGGGGCCGGGCGGCAATGGCTCTGAGACTGTTACTGCATTGGAGGACATGGGCTCCCACTCACCCAACAATAACAGAGACTCCCTTTACACCAGCATGCCAAACTTGAGAGACACACCCTCGCCCTCAGCTTCGCCGTACCCCCCTGAGGAGGAAGAGGAGCTCTCCCCCTCACCTCGAAGCGAGAGCGAGGACGCGTATCACAAAAGCATGCCTGAACTCGGTGATGCGCCGCAGCCCATGTCCTACTACCACATAAACCGAGGCACCAGCGACGGATGCATCCTCCCGCCCAACAATGAAGACTGTGCGCAGGAAGGAGAGGCACCCAGCGACGGACAAATGCAGCTCATTACCAGCCTCTGATTCGGCACTCTTTGTTTGCACAGGTTTGAACAGATGGCTGCTTTTCCATTGATGTCAAGAGAGCTGGCAAGTCTGGCTCCGCACTCCACATGCCCTTTCTCTTAGGACAGGAAGTGAAATGTTGTTGGGTGGGAAAACAAATGAAGAAATGACTTTTGCACACAGATACCATTAACACACAAGACACATTCATCTGAGGCCAGGCAAATGTGGACTGTGAGAGCTCTGCTGTTGGACTAAAGAGGTGCAGAGAATAACACGCTGTCAGAGAAAAGTCTGGCCTTTCTGTTGTACTGTACTGTCGAAGAATAAGGGATTTAAAAAAAATACTCCAAGCAAAGAACTATGAAACTCCTGACATATCCTTTGGGGACTTTGCAGAACCAGGGTCTTTTTAGTCATGAAGTACAGAACTAGAGCTAGTGTGGCTCCACTACACAGTCAAGACTCTAAAGTTAAGAAACCACTAATTCAGACTCAGGCCTTATATTTTCTCTATTGCACATTTAACTGTTGTCAAAGTAACAGCTAAAGAAAATATATTTTGCTGTACCACTAGTGTAAAAAGTCAAAAGAAGAAAGAAGAAAGAAAAACTAAAGAAAAAAAGGCAACCATTCAGTAGTTATGCCCTTTCAATGTCAATAAGATTATTCAGACAAGATTACTCAAAGTCGTGGAAATGTACTTTTTCCTCTCACACTTGACTCATTGACGTATTATGTAAAAAAAAAAAAAAAAAAGTTTTGCCAGATATCAGTCCATATGGAATCATGCTCTCGTATCTGCTTGTGAAGTGCTTTTGCTTTCATGAATGATGAGTTTTTGCCAGTAGTACATTTGTTAACACCGGGCCATGCACAGATTTGGAGTCAATTGGAAACTTGTGTAATTTATTTTACTTGAAAGAAATCGTCAGCTTAAAGACTTATGTTCACATCAATGCGATATTGCAGTTTTTGCGGACTTATTTCCTCCTTCGACACTAATTAATTTATTAACTGAACTATTCAGAAAAAATGGAAAAAAAGAACATGGTTGGAAAGTGTGAAAAGTTGTTGCAGCACTGGTTAGGTTCATTTTATTTCTTTTGTAAGAGCCCATCATCAGCTGATATTTAATTCAACTCCTGTTTGATATCAAATAAATGTGAATTTTTTCTTGTTCGCAAATGTCTGACTCTTTTTTAATGGTTTGCATAATATTTACAATAGATCCCATGAAAACCACACAACTAACAATATCTTAGACAACCAGCACTCAACCCATCTGTTCCTGGTGAAGATATTAGGCTACCCTTAAAAAACGATGCACCAAATATGCTACTCTCCTCTTTTTGTCTTTAAAAAAAGTTGAAACAGGAATACATAGTTTTTTGGGGGACTATTTTAAGCCGTAGATTAATACACCTCTGGTTGCTTAGTGAGGATTTACAGCAGCATAAAAAAATTATATCTGAATAACCTTTAGCACTTGTGTGTCAAAAATAAATAACCTAATTCAGTAGCGGTCCGTGTACGTTTTGTCAGTTAGATTTTTCGTTTAAACCAAAAGCCAAAAAACGAAAATACCAGCCTTTTTTCGTTTTTGATTTAAAACGGAAAACCAAAGCCATTTTCCCGTTTGTGTTGTCTGAATCAAAAGACGGATAACGAGAAAACCTAATAAAAAAAAAGTCTGTACGTTTTGTTAGTTTGATTTTTCATTTGAACCAAAAAAACGAAAATACCAGCCTTTTTTCGTTTTAAATCAAAAACGAAAAAAAGGGAAACCAACCCCGTTTTCTGAATCAAAAAACGGATAACAAGAAGACCTTATTTAAAAAAACGGTCCGGTTTTGGTTTTTGATAACAATTTCATTCAATATTTCGTTTTGTATTGAAGAATGAAGAAAAAAAAGTCCGGTGAACCGGAAGTTAAAGAACATATTTCAAAATAAAAGAAACGAGGCTATAATGGCAATGGTGTAAAAAGTTCAATCCTGGAACCCAGAAGTCTGACGTGACGACCCTTGGTCCCCCTGCTTCCGGCGCCCATACTGACGAGGATACGTTTATTTCTGCATTCACATGCAGATATACGTTTATAGAGAATACAAGTAATCGTTGCACAACTTTATTTCGCTGACTTCCGGTTTGTACTGTGTCGTCAAATCCAGTGTCCAGCTTGTCACTGTGTGACAACGTCATGTTTGTTGCATACCTGCAAGATTTACCTGTGACAAATGTCAGCGATGTGAACAGAACTGTCGCCCTACTTTCACCTGCACCCAGCAGCAAGCGGGAGAACGATATATCATACAGTCGACCCCTAAAACAGTTCACACAGTAAATGGAACAGTTGTTAATTTGTCCAACTAGTCTACATTAAGAATTTGATGTTTTTCTAAACTGCTAAGAAGCTGATAGCTGAGTTAGAACAGAAAGACATGTCAGGCCATATCAAATAGACGGTCAAAGAGGGAATGTGTGTGTAAAAAGCTTACATGAACTGATGAAACATTAGTGATTTAATAACAAGACATTCAAGTCAAAGTTTTAGGCATTTCTTTGTAGCACGCTGTAAATATGGACTCTATGAATGACACCATGCAATTGTGGAAACACAACAAATAGGTTTATTTCTCAATATCATATACAGTATCAGGATGACAAATGATTTACTGAGAGTGAAGCGATGGACATGAACCACTATTACTGTATGGTATCTCCAAGCAAAACTACATATGATTTACCCTTTCCTCTAACTCTTCTCTCCAAAAGTGGCCTCCTATTGTTGTTGCACAACAA